ACACACACACACACACACACACACACACACACACACACACACACACACACACACACAGAATAGAGGTTAAACACCCCCTCTCCAAATCATACACACCAAAGAACCACTGAAAGTAAAAAAAAAAGAAGTAATAATCATGTTTAATTCTAATTCTTCACAGATCTACTGTAAGTCCAGCAAAGCACCTGTAGCAGAAGTCTGTCCTTCTCGTTTTTAATCTGTGCCTCCATCTCTTCGTACAAATGACGGATCTCGTCGTCGTGTGTCGCAGCCTTCCTGCTCAAAAGAAAACCGACAAACGACTAAGTCCATGAACAGCGGAACAAACAACTGTTGCTGTTTAGACACAACATACGACTCCCTCTGTAAATCCTAGAAATTAAATCGGGAAAAAAAACGAACAAATATGCAAACCAAACAGCAGCGGATAACCTCTTAAATACTCGAGCTGTACATTGGGATTTACATTCCTTCAATGAAAGACCTAAACAGCTAATTAGCAAAGTGCAAAAAAAAAGGAAAAGCTACAATTTCATAACCTGTTGATGTTTTTGTTTGCAAATACGTCTGCAGTTTGACAATCTCTAATCACAGTAGAGTATTTAGCTTATTTTTTAATTGTGTATTTAGAAATATGACTTTATCTCCACATCAGTAGATGTTATAATTCAGTGAGTCCAGATTAGAAGTCTCTGTCATGTTGCTACTGGATTGTTTCAGTTGCTTTAAGTGCCTCGGTCACGATACCTCTGCAGAGCACTCTCCATCTCCTTCTTTTCCTGGTAGGCCTCTTTAATCTGGTGAGTTATTCTGGCCAGGAACTCCTCAAAGTTGGACAGGAGGTGAGGCTCRTCTCTCCTGAGCTCGGCCCACAGGCTGCGCACCTCACCTGGACTGGACCAAAGGGACAAGAACGAGACAGTAAAAGGCCAATTTGGTAAATTCATCTGAGCCGAAGGAGGYTCGTTTAGACACTGCAAAGTTTCTGACTCACTCCTCAAACACGTTACTGGCCCCCAGACTGTCCAGCAGCATGCTGAAGTGCCTCTCCTCCTCATCTTCCACTGCTGACAGCTCGGCATCCCACTGGCTTTGGTAAAGAGCTTCCTTTGCTTTGAAGACGGGCTGCAGGGTGGGATTTTGGTCCTCGGTTATGGAGATTCTCCGCCCGTGAAGAAACTGACCTAAAGAACACAAAAACCAGGCAGAACTGGCTAAGATGCACCTGAGATGCAAAAAGCTCAAAAGCAGAATTAACTGTCATTAACTGGCATTTGGTATTGAAGATTTGGCACGTTGTTCATGGGAGCTACTCAAATMCTCAACCCACGCATGTATTTTCCTRTCAAAACATGGCAGCAGTCAACAGGAAATAAACAGACTCTAGATGATGTGAGATTTATTGGCAAGAAGGCTAATAAAAAACTGAAATATTCTGCCAAACATCCTCGCTGTCCTAGCATAGACATAAACATGTTTAGTCGGGGTGCAACAATACATGTATCTGAATTGAATCATTCAGTACAGTGCTCTTCAATATACACAACACACATATAATTACTGGACAGTGTCAAGGTAGAACAGATATACAGCGGGTAAAATAAGTATTGAACACGTCAACATTTTTCTCAGTAAATATATTACTAGAGGTGCTAATGACATGAAATTTTCACCAGATGT